GATTCACTTCTTTAAAAACAACATAAATTAAACAAAAAAAACAAATCCTAAATTAAATGAAAATGAAATCAAAGGTAGCAGAAGAAGAAAAATATTATTAAACCTGCCCCTTTTCTCAAATAAATAAATTTAATCAAAAATAATCTTTAGTTTACAAAAAAAAAAAATGTTTAACTCCTTGAAAAACAATCCATACATTTACACATTTCTCCAGCAATTAACCTTTATCATTCTTTTAAATATTGATCTGGCATTTTTAATGTCATTTTCCAGATTATTACATAATCTTGTACCCTGGACTAAAGTACTACGTTCCTTTATAATATATAAATATATAAATTAACTTTTATTAGCAATTTAGACATAAAAAATGTTTTATAAGTTGGCTAGTGTGACAGGGCTTTGAGTCTGAAATCATTAGCTCTTTCATCCGTCCTAAACAAATAGAGTTTTATTAAACTAACTGTTCAAACGTTACGTTGGCCCTGCAGATATAAGAAAATGTTTGGAAACAGATTTTGTCTGAAAGTAGTCATCAATCTTATGATGCACCAAAAATTAAACAGAAGACAACGAATAAGTGAAGCTCGTGTTAAAACCAACAGATTAGATGAATTTCAGGCTGAAGATGAAGCGAGCAGCAGAACGTCAGCAGAACGTCAGCAGAACGTCAGCAGAACGTCAGCAGAACGTCAGCAGAACGTCAGCAGAACGTCAGCAGAACGTCAGCAGCTGTCAGGTTCAGGACGACACAAACTCTTCATCTGTTTTTAACAAACACTTTTATTAGCAGAGTGAAAAACGTGAAAGCTTGGCTGTGGATTATTTACAGGCTGAACCCGGATCAGACGGAACCAACAGAACAGTTCTGAAGAACATCAGAACTCAGGTGTGACTTCCACCTGCAGACAAACACGAGTGACTTTATTTGACTTTATTTAGTTTTTATTCTCTGTCTATTCCAAGTTTCATTTCATTTTATTCACTTTGTAAAACAGGAAACAGAAGAATGAATGAATGAATGAATGAATGAATATTATTATTAATAAATTATGGAACAAACGAAGGAATAAACCCAAAATAAATGTATAAAAATAAAGATTTGTGCTCACCGTGAGGAGGAGGATGAAGGTCAGACAACAGTAGCAGCTTTCTGCAGACAGAAACAGGTCATGTGACTGATGACATCATCGATGGATAATCAAACATCGTTAACTCACAGAAGACATGAAACTGCTGGAGAGGTGCTGTTTGTTGGAGGAAGAGGAGGAGGAGGAGGAGGAAGGCTGGCTGGGGGGGCCGGACTCCCCCAGCGGCGCCTCCTGCAGGTGCGAGGAGGCGCAGCCGCTGTCAGAGCCCGTGGACCCGGAGAGGCCGCGAGACGAGGAGCCGGAGCTCTCCGTGCCTGCAGAGAGGAGGGGGCGGAGTCTCAGAGCGCGGCGGGAAAGGTGGGCTGAAAACTCACAGGTGTGCCGAGCCACAGGGGGCGGGGCTACGGCGGCACAGCGGGGACGTACTCATCGAAGGCTGGCTGCCGGTCTCGTGCTCCTGCTCGTCCTCCTCGATGCAGGAGGTGCTGAAGGAGGCGGGAGGCGCGGCGGGGAGCGACTGGCTGCAGGGGGAGGGGCCAGGTCAGAACCAGTACAGGCTGAGGACACACAGGAGGACAGGTGTGTGTGTTACCTGTACATGTGCAGGTTGAGCGGGCCCAGCAGGCTGAGGGAGGACGGTCCTGAAGCTGCGGGGTCCGAGGAGCCGGGGTCCCGTCTGAACGGCTGAGAGTGGTCGAACACGGATACAGCGATGGAGGCCCGAGTTCTGGCTCCTGGACACAAAACCTCAGAGTCTCAGAACCTGGTCCAGAATCCTCAAAGTGATACTCGAGTAAAAGTACAAGTATCTTATCATAAAAATACTTTGGTAAAAGTTAAAGTCTTCTCTAAAAATATTACT